TATATATATATATATATATATATATATATATATATATATATATATATATATAAGAGTTAGGATTAAAATGAAGTCTATTTTTCTTTACTATATATATAGTAGTTTCTGAATAAATGTTTGTGTCGATATCTTTTATCTTTATTCCAAAAGTTAATTTTCAGTCAAATACCTATAGAAGATGTGATACTAGTATACGGCTCTACAATTGCAACATCAAGTACAATACCTACATAAACTTGATTTTTTGATTAATTATATAAAAAATTGAGTGAATTAAAATGAATGAATCATTAACCTGTACCAATTTAAAAGAGTTGACCAACAAGGATTGTAGTGGAGTTGTAATGTGCACGAAGTCTTCTTTGTTAGAGAGCGCATTACCCAATATAAAACTTTTCACGTGAATTCGAATTTAGTCAGATTTCAATATGAATACACAAAATTAACACAAATCGAGTTGGCTTGACCATATGTTCAATGATTAAATGGGAACAAGTCAACAAACTCTCATTAGTAAGTACATGCGTAGAAGTAACATAAATTTAGCTTTAAAAGGAACACGTCACTTGAGAAATTTGTAGTACTTTAATATAAAGTTTAACATAACCTTTAAAAAATGTACATTAATTCAAATAATTATGAATGAAACACATTTTCATGACAAAATATTAATATTTTGACTTTAATTTCCACTCTATCTGCACAATCACGTCTCTATTCATTATCACATTTTTTCAGTTTCTCACATTAATGAAGCAATGTATTTTTTATTTTCAAAGTATTGTACCGTCTTCGTCATGAATAGCACAATATTCAGAGGAATAAAAATGTAGTACTAATTTGTAATTTTGTATTAAATAAATAAATATATTTTGACTTTAAATCATATGCTAGTGGCAAAAGAAAAATTGAAATATCTTTCTGAAAAAAATTCACCGCCATACCATTTTAATCATTTAAGTTGTGAAAAATAAAAGGGTTAAACAGTTTAATACAAGGTCTATAAATAGAAATATATTTGAGATATATATGATATCAATAACTAGAAAAAAATGATTATGATAATTTTTATTCTTTTAGTAACTCTTCCTATTGTACTCAATTTCCTAGCAAAAAAGGATAGGAAAAATGTTATGCCACCTGGTCCTTTAGGGTTACCATTTATTGGAAATTTGCATCAATACGATGGTTTAACCCCTCATATTTATTTTTCGAAACTTGCCAAGAAATATGGAAAAATATTTTCATTAAAACTTGGTTCTACTCCAATAGTTGTAATTTCTTCAGCAAAATTAGCAAAAGAAGTGTTAAAAATACAAGATTTAACATTTTGTAGTAGACCTTCTTTTCTTGGTCAACAAAAATTGTCTTACAATGGTCGTGATATTGGCTTTGCACCTTATAATGACTATTGGAGAGAAATGCGAAAAATTTGCGTTGTTCATTTGTTCAGTTTAAAAAAAGTACAATCCTTTAGTCCGGTTCGTGAAGATGAAGTATCAAGAATGATCACGAAAATATCTCAACAAGCAACTGCTTCTCAAATTACAAATTTAAGTAATTTAGTGATTTCACTAACGAGTACTATTATTTGTAGAGTTGCTTTTGGTATTAGATATGACGAAGAAGCGCATGAAAAGAGGAGATTTGATGAACTTTTAGCAGTGGCACAAGAAATGATGGCGCGGTTCTTTTTCACGGATTATTTTCCTATGTTTGGTTGGCTTGACAAAGTATTTGGAAATATTAGTAGACTTGAAAAAAATTGTAAAGAATTAGATGAGTTTTATGAAGAACTCATTGAACAACATCTTAATCCCAATAAGCCAAAATCCATGGAAGGAGATATTATTGATCTTTTGCTACAATTGATGAAAGAGCAATCAACTCCCATTGATCTCACTTTGGACAACATAAAGGCAATTCTCATGGTAAGTTATCAACTATACATGTCTAGTATAACCAATATATGCATATAGATAAAAGAATTTAAGTTATATATACAATAATAGTATACATGTATACACAACTATTTTTATGACAATCCCTTTCATTTTCCTCTAAATTTGATTGTTTTGTAGAATATATTTGTTGGTGGAACAGACACTAGCGCGGCTACAGTAGTATGGGCAATGACAGCCTTGATGAAGAATCCAAAAGTCATGAAGAAGGTTCAAGAAGAAATTAGAAAATCAATTGGGACCAAAGGCTTTGTGAATGAAGA